AGTCTATCTCCTTAACCACTCACAAATTTCTGTCTCCTTAACCACTCACAAATTTCAAGTCTGTCTCCTTAACCACTCACAGATTTCAAGTCTGTCACAGATTTCAAGTCTGTCTCCTTAACCACTAAGTCTCTTAACCACTCACAGATTTCAAGTCTCTTAGATTTCAAGTCAAGTCTCCTTAGATTTCAAGTCTGTCTCCTTTTTCAAGTCCTTAATCACTCACAGATTTCAAGTCTATCTCCTTAACCACTCACAAATTTCAAGTCTGTCTCCTTAACCACTCACAGATTTCAAGTCTGTCACAGATTTCAAGTCTGTCTCCTTAACCACTAAGTCTCTTAACCACTCACAGATTTCAAGTCTCTGTCACAGATTTCAAGTCTGTCTCCTTAACCACTAAGTCTCTTAACCACTCACAGATTTCAAGTCTCTTAGATTTCAAGTCAAGTCTCCTTAGATTTCAAGTCTGTCTCCTTAACCACTCACAGATTTCAAGTCTCTTAGATTTCAAGTCAAGTCTCCTTAGATTTCAAGTCTGTCTCCTTTTTCAAGTCCTTAATCACTCACAGATTTCAAGTCTATCTCCTTAACCACTCACAAATTTCAAGTCTGTCTCCTTAACCACTCACAGATTTCAAGTCTGTCACAGATTTCAAGTCTGTCTCCTTAACCACTAAGTCTCTTAACCACTCACAGATTTCAAGTCTCTTAGATTTCAAGTCAAGTCTCCTTAGATTTCAAGTCTGTCTCCTTAACCACTCACAGATTTCAAGTCTCTTAGATTTCAAGTCAAGTCTCCTTAGATTTCAAGTCTGTCTCCTTTTTCAAGTCCTTAATCACTCACAGATTTCAAGTCTATCTCCTTAACCACTCACAAATTTCAAGTCTGTCTCCTTAACCACTCACAGATTTCAAGTCTGTCACAGATTTCAAGTCTGTCTCCTTAACCACTAAGTCTCTTAACCACTCACAGATTTCAAGTCTCTTAGATTTCAAGTCAAGTCTCCTTAGATTTCAAGTCTGTCTCCTTAACCACTCACAGATTTCAAGTCTCTTAGATTTCAAGTCAAGTCTCCTTAGATTTCAAGTCTGTCTCCTTTTTCAAGTCCTTAATCACTCACAGATTTCAAGTCTATCTCCTTAACCACTCACAAATTTCAAGTCTGTCTTCTTTCAAGTCTATCTCCTTAACCACTCACAAATTTTAAGTCTGTCTCCAAATCTGTCTCCTTAACCACTCACAGAGTTCAAGTTCCTTAACCACTCACAAATTTCATTCCTTAACCCAGATTTCATTCCTTAACCACTCACAGATTTCAAATTCCTTAACCACTCACAGATTTCAAGTCTGTCTCAAGACTGTCTCCTTAACCACTCACAGATTTCAAGTTCCTTAACCACTCACAGATTTCAAGTCTGTCTCCTTACCCACTCACAGATTTCAAGTCTGTCTCCTTTCAAGTCTTTCTCCTTAACCACTCACAGATTTCAAGTCTGTCTCCTTAACCACTCACAAATTTCTGTCTCCTTAACCACTCACAAATTTCAAGTCTGTCTCCTTAACCACTCACAAATTTCAAGTCTGTCACAGATTTCAAGTCTGTCTCCTTAACCACTCAAAGATTTCAAGTCTGTCTCCTTAACCACTCACAGATTTCAAGTCTGTCTTCTGTCTCCTTAACCACTCACAGATTTCAAGTTCCTTAACCACTCACAGATTTCAAGTTCCTTAACCACTCCCAGATTTCAAGTCTGTCTCCTTAACCACTCACAGATTTCAAGTCTAAGTCTGTCTCTTTAACCACTAAGTCTCTTAACCACTCACAGATTTCAAGTCTCTTAGATTTCAAGTCTGTCTCCTTAACCACTCACAGATTTCAAGTCTCTTAGATTTCAAGTCAAGACTCCTTAGATTTCAAGTTTGTCTCCTTAACCACTCACAGATTTCAAGTCTGTCTTCTTTTTCAAGTCCTTAACCACTCACAGATTTCAAGTCTGTCTTCTTTTTCAAGTCTTTAACCACTCACAGATTTCAAGTTTGTCTTCTTTTTCAAGTCCTTAACCACTCACAGATTTCAAGTCTGTCTCCTTAACCACTCACAGATTTCATTCCTTAACCCAGATTTCATTCCTTAACCACTCACAGATTTCAAGTTCCTTAACCACTCACAGATTTCAAGTCTGTCTTAAGTCAGATTTGTGTTCCTTAACCACTCACAGATTTCAAGTTCCTTAACCACTCACAGATTTCATTTCAAGTTCCTTAACCACTCACAGATTTCAAGTTTCTTAACCACTCACAGATTTCAAGTCTGTCTCCTTAACCACTCATAGATTTCCACTCACAGATTTCAAGTTCCTTAATCACTCACAGATTTCAAGTCTGTCTCCTTAACCACTCACAGATAGATTTCAAGTCTGTCTCCTTAACCACTCAACAGATTTCAACACTCACAGATTTCAAGTCTGTCTCCTTAACCACTCACAGATTTCAAGTCTGTCTCCTTAACCACTCAACATATCGTCTCCTATCGTCTCCTTCCACTCACATAACCACTCAACATATCGTCTCCTATCGTCTCCTTCCACTCAAAGATTTCAAGTCTGTCTCCTTAACCACTCAACATATCGTCTCCCTCCTTCCACTCATAGATTCTCCTTCCACTCACAGATTTCAAGTCTGTCTCCTTAACCACTCAACATATTGTCTCCTTTCACTCACAGATTTCAAGTCTGTCTTCAAGTCTGTCTCCTTAACCACTCAACATATCGTCTCGTTCCACTCACAGATTTCAAGTCTGTCTCCTTAACCACTCAACATATCGTCTCCTTCCACTCACAGATTTCAAGTCTGTCTCCTTAACCACTCAACATATCGTCTCGTTCCACTCACAGATTTCAAGTCTGTCTCCTTAACCACTCAACATATCGTCTCCTTCCACTCACAGATTTCAAGTCTGTCTCCTTAACCACTCAACATATCGTCTCCTTCCACTCACAGATTTCAAGTCTGTCTCCTTAACCACTCAACATATCGTCTCGTTCCACTCACAGATTTCAAGTCTGTCTCCTTAACCACTCAACATATCGTCTCGTTCCACTCACAGATTTCAAGTCTGTCTCCTTAACCACTCAACATATCGTCTCCTTCCACTCACAGATTTCAAGTCTGTCTCCTTAACCACTCAACATATCGTCTCCTTCCACTCACAGATTTCAAGTCTGTCTCCTTAACCACTCAACATATCGTCTCCTTCCACTCACAGATTTCAAGTCTGTCTCCTTAACCACTCAACATATCGTCTCGTTCCACTCACAGATTTCAAGTCTGTCTCCTTAACCACTCAACATATCGTCTCCTTCCACTCACAGATTTCAAGTCTGTCTCCTTAACCACTCAACATATCGTCTCCTTCCACTCACAGATTTCAAGTCTGTCTCCTTAACCACTCAACATATCGTCTCCTTCCACTCACAGATTTCAAGTCGTCTGTCTCCTTAACCACTCAACACATCGTCTCCTTCCACTCACAGATTTCAAGTCTGTCTCCTTAACCACTCAACATATCGTCTCCTTCCACTCACAGATTTCAAGTCGTCTGTCTCCTTAACCACTCAACATATCGTCTCCTTCCACTCACAGATTTCAAGTCTGTCTCCTTAACCACTCAACATATCGTCTCGTTCCACTCACAGATTTCAAGTCTGTCTCCTTAACCACTCAACATATCGTCTCCTTCCACTCACAGATTTCAAGTCGTCTGTCTCCTTAACCACTCAACATATCGTCTCCTTCCACTCACAGATTTCAAGTCATCTGTCTCCTTAACCACTCAACACATCGTCTCCTTCCACTCACAGATTTCAAGTCTGTCTCCTTAACCACTCAACACATCGTCTCCTTCCACTCACAGATTTCAAGTCGTCTGTCTCCTTAACCACTCAACATATCGTCTTCTTCCACTCACAGATTTCAAGTCTGTCTCCTTAACCACTCAACATATCGTCTCCTTCCACTCACAGATTTCAAGTCGTCTGTCTCCTTAACCACTCAACATATCGTCTCCTTCCACTCACAGATTTCAAGTCTGTCTCCTTAACCACTCAACATATCGTCTCCTTCCACTCACAGATTTCAAGTCGTCTGTCTCCTTAACCACTCAACATATCGTCTCCTTCCACTCACAGATTTCAAGTCTGTCTCCTTAACCACTCAACATATCTAACAGATTTCAAAAATAAATCAAACATCGACACCAAGGTTTGAACCTAAGTTTAACAGATTTCAAGTCTGTCTATTTAACCACTCAAACATATCAACCTTGATACTATAAGAAATTTTTGAACTCAATAGATAGATTCGAATAAAAGTTGAATTATGCATTTGATCGAGCTAAAATAAATCAAACATCGACAACAGGGTTCGAACCTGCACAGGCTAAGCCCAACAAATTTCAAGTCTATCTCCTTAAACACTCAAACATATCGACTTTGATATTGTAAGGAATTTTTGAAATCAATAGATAGATTCTAATAAAAGTTGAATTGTTTTAAAATTTATTGAATGGTTGGTTTGATCAAGCTAAAATAAATAAATCAATAGGTTTCACCCTCAAGTCTGTCTCTTTAACCACACTCGAATGTAGCGACCTCGATGCTGTTGGGAATTTTAATTTTTGAAGTCAATAGATAGATTCATATAAAAGTTGAGGATGTATCGACCAAATCAATCGACAGGGTTTCGCCCTCAAGTCTGTCTCTTTAACCACACTCGAATGTAGCGACCTTGATGCTGTTGGGAATTTTAATTTTTGAAGTCAATAGATAGATTCATATAAAAGTTGAATTGTTTGAGACCGAGCTAAAATAAATCAAACATTGACAGCAGGGTTCAAACCTGCGCGGACGAAGCCCAACAAATTTAATCGACCTCAATGCTATAAGAAAATTTTGAAGTCAATAGATAGATTCATATGACCGAGCTAAAATAAATCAAATGTTAACAATAGGATTTGAACCTACGCACGCAAAGCGCAACAAATTTCAAGTTTGTCTCCTTAACCACTCGAACATATCAACCTCGATATTGTAGGGAATTTTTGAAGTCAATAGATAGATTCGAATAAAAGTTGAATTGTTTTAAAATTTGACAGCAAAGTTCGAATATGCGTGGGTGAAACCCAACAGATTTCAAGTTGGTCTCCTTAACCACTCGAACATACCAACATTGATGCTGTTGGTAATTTTTGAAGTCAATAGATAGATTCATATAAAAATTGAATTGTTTTAAAATTTATTGAATTGTGGGTTTGACCGAGCTCAAATAAAGCACGTTTTAAATGTTTTATTGATGTTTTGTTTTTAAATTTTTACATCAAATTAATAAAATGTTGACAATAAGGTAATTTCAACCGTGTTCAAAGTCAATAGATAGATTCATTAACCACTCATCATATTAATCTTGATGTTGTAGTGAATTTTTGAAGTCAATAGATAGATTCATATAAAAGTTGAATTGTTTTAAAATTTATTGAATTGTGGGTTAAATCAAATATAAAAAAAAAAAAAAAGTAGAGTTCAAACCTTTGTGGGCGAAATAAATATAAAAGTTGAATGGTTTTTAAATGGGTTTGATTGAGCTTAAATAAATCACATTTTAAATGTTTTATTGATGTTTTGTTTTTTAATTTTTAAATCAAAAAAAAAAAAAAAAAAAAAAAAAAAAAAAAAAAAAAAAAAAAAAAAAAAAAA